ATTTCAACAGATAAAAATGGGGAGAATCCAGTGCTGTAATAACTCTGTGTGAGCATCACAGTCTGGTTAGAAGAGGTCACAGACTAGACCAGCACAAGTCCACCCACGCAGGAGGTGGCCAGCAATCCAAGCCTCTCCAAAATGTGCAGCAGAGGGCTAACCAGGCAGCTGGCACTTCAGAAATGTCAAGAAACTAAAGAAACTGCTTCACTGTGTCTTTAATTTCTAAATTACTCCCTTCCTACAAATAATTTTTGAGTCAGAAATACTGCTTTCCAAAAAGAATGTTTTCTGCTAAAAATGTCTTTTTAAGACACCATAAATGTAAAGTGAATACTTTCCCCTTATTTATACATCTGTTCTGACTGAACACAATCAAGATGAAATTTATTAAAGGAAAACTTCCTTTTGTCCATATTACCGCTCCCCTCCCGAGTGTTCCTCAGAAGCTTAGGAAATAAGTTCTGAAAGGAAACTTTTCCTCTGCCCCAGCAAAGGGGAAAACCTGGGGCCTCTTGACCTATAAAACTCAGTATTTTGGAACATCCGTAATTCTCCCCAGTCTGTGCCAGTCAAACAGAGTCTCCCTTTAGCAAACCACCCGGCAGCCAGGGCTGGACAGCGAGGCTTTCACCCTCAGGAGCTGACAAGGATAGGACTCAAAAGCTCCCTGAGAAAAAAGTCTCTCCTTCAACTTGCATTACAAACTGTTGGAAAAGACAGATGGAGGGGATGACAGGAAAAGCAATTATTTCTTCTGGGCTTCCTTTTTGTCTGGATTCTGAGGAGACGAATACAAAATTCCATCACAGATTGAAATGCTATCTAAACATTCTTGAAAATGTGGTCTTACTCTCTGAAATATGACCTGCTTTGCTCTACAGCAACCTGTAACCTATTAACATGGGAGGTGGGGAGGCCGGCATTCCTGCAGGCTGTCTAATTCTGGGCCGGACTCGCCAGCACTGCTAGTTTGTGACCACAGGTTAAAACATAACTAACTAAGGGATGTGTATCTGCGCAGCATGACCCAACAAAAAGTCTTGATGAATCATTTACTTTACTTTCACAATCTTGGAATTTTAAATACCGGAGACTCTCTTTTGTGTATTAAGGTTTCTAGTGAGCCATTCTAAATACAGGCTGAATCACAATAAACAGTAGCATTATTATTTCAAAGAGTAGTAAGGTGCAACTAGTCATATATAAATCAAGTTTTAAACAACAGTTAAATAAACTGTTATCACACATGGACTATGTGTTCTGAGAAGTGTGAAGATGAGAAAGATGCAGTTCTTGCCTCAAGGAGCTTATACACTAGTCAATGGGACAAGAAGTGTTCACTAGCACGTCCAAGGAGACCAGGAAAGCCAAATGAAAAGTCCGAGCAGGGGGCTGTGGGAGTCTGCGGGCAGGAAGGAATAGATCTAATTAACTGAGGGACACTGGGATCAATTTTCTCATCTGTAAAACGAGAGGAATGGAACAGACAAGTTCCAAATCCCTTCTAGTTCTAAAATTCTGATTCCTTTGGTTTGTCTAGTTAAGATAAATCAAAATTTCATGAAAGAAGTAGTATTTGAGCTGGGCCTTAGGAATAGGTAAGATTTTGAAATTAAGCTATTAGGAGAGAGAGAATTTTAAGCAAAAGGAAGGACACATCTGCCCTGGCTGGTTTGGCTCAGTGGATAGAGCGTCAGCCTGCACACTGAAGGGTCCCAGGTTCGATTCCAGTCAAAGGCACATGCCTGGGTTTCGAGCTCGATCCCCAGTGGGAGGCTTGCAGAAGGCAGCCAGTCAATGCTTCTCTCTCATCATTGATGTTTCTATCTCTCTCTCTCTCCATTTCTCTCTGAAATCAATAAAAATATATTTTTTTAAAAAAGGAAGGACACATCCTAAGTCCAGAAAATACTAAGTCTTCAGTATGAATGAAACACAGGCAACAGCATTGGAAAGGTAGACTGAGGCCCTGAATGCCAAGCAAAGGAATTTGGGTTTAATTTGGTAGACAGAGCCCTCTGAGGTTTCTGAAGAGGTAGATGACATGACCAGATGACATGACATCTCCTACTATAAGGGCCCCGATTACATAGGCCTCACCTGCCAGAGAAGCAAAGCTTCATTGGAAAAACCTAAATAGATAAAGCAAAACAGCAAGGACGAAAAATCATGCAAGGACTAGGAAATAGGACCAGTTTTAGGAATTTAGTATGTCTACACACAAATAGTGATGGTGACAACAAGGAAGAAGGTAGACTACTTACAAATGGACCAACGGAAGGTGATTATTAACAGGAAAAGAAAGTCATAGAATGTAAGAAAAATAGAGAAATGAATAAACTGAAAATATAAAAGAAAGAGACTCAACACATGTCAGCTACTAGTAGAGAGAACAGGAATATAAGATGAGGAAATTTCTACACAGGATTAAACCTCCACCCACCTTCCAAAAATCTGGGTAGCATAATTAACATTTTAAGAAATCATCTGTACTGACAGCTGTTGGAGGGGAGGAGGCTGGGGGGCTGGGTGAAATAGGTGAAGGGGGATAAATGGTGACGGCAGACTTGACTGTGTGATGAACACACAATACAATATACAGATGATGCATTACAGAATTGTACACGAAAAACTTATATAATTTTATTAATCAATGTCATCCCATGAAATTCAATACAAATATTTTTTAAAAAGGAATCAGCTGTACTAAAAAATGTCAAACAGGACAAATAACAGAATTGAAGCTACTATTATAAAGATGCACACCGACCTCACTGAATTAGTACTGGAAAGGGAGAACCAGACACTGTATGAGAAGAAGACTAGGAAAGACATGCACGTCATTGTTAGATAGCAATTTCTGAAAAATGATGCCTGAACAGAAAAATAAAATCCAAATGAAAAGGGAAATGTTAGTAGATAACATCTGGCCTCTGAATCATTGAAGAATACCTCCTCCCCATATACTTTTTCCCTTCATTCCCTTCCAACAGCCCTCCTTAGCTAGATCCTAAGGAAATGTAAAATTCCTGAAATCAATCTCGTTACTAGGCACGAGGAACTGTAGCTAGGTCACATTACTATTTTTTTGTAATATATGAATTTTATTTCCATCTTGATTTTTAAAATTTATTGTGTTAAAATACACATAAAATTTATCATCTTAATCATTTTTAATTGAATGTAATAAGTACATTCACATTCTTGTGCAGCCGTCACCACCATCCATCCCATAATTCTTTTCAGCTTGTAAAACTGAAGCTCTATACCCATTAAACAGTAACTTTCCATTCTCCCCCAGCCCCTGACAACTATAATTATACTTTCTGTCTTTATGATTTTCACTATTCTAATTACTTCATATAAGTGGAATCATATAGTATTTTTTGTGACAAGATTATTTCATTTAGTATAATGTCTTCACGTTCATCCATGTAGCATATGTCAGAATTTCTCTTTCTAAGGTTGAATAATATCCCATTGTATACATATCCCACATTTTGCTTACCTAGTCATCTGTCAATGGACACTTTGCTTCTACGTTTTACCTATTGTGAACAAAGCTACTATAAACGTGGCTATACAAGTATCTCTTCAAGACCCTGCTTTCAATTATTTTGGGTATATATACCCAGAAGTGGAATTGCTAGGTCATATGGTAATTCTATATTTTAAATTTTTTGAGGAACTTCCATACTGTTTTACACACAGCTGTATCATTTTACATTCCACCAACAGTGCACAAGGGTTCCAATTTATCCATATCCTAAAACTGGTCCTATTTCCTAGTCCTTGCATGATTTTTAGTCCTGTTGCTTTGCTGACACTTGTTGTTTCCTGTTTGTTTGTTTTTAAAATATATTTTTATTGATTTCAGAGAAGAAGGCAGAGGGAGAGAGAGAGATAAAAACATCAGTGATGACAGAGAATCATTGATCGGCTGTTTCCTTGCACACCCCACACTGGGGGTCAAGCCTGCAACCCCAGCATGTGCCCTGACCAGGAATTGAACCGTGTTCTCCTGGTTCATAGGTCAATGCTCAACCACTGAGCCATGCTGGCCGGGCGTTTTCTGTTTTGTTTTTTTTATAGCAGCCATCCTACTGGGTGTGCTTTGCATTTTCCTAATAATTAGTGATTTGAGCATCATGTACTTAGTGACTAATCTTGTATCTTCTTCGGAGAAATGTCTCTTCAAGTTCTTTGCCCACTGTTGGGCTGTTTGGTTTTTTGTTGTTGAATTTTAGGAGTTCTCAATATATTTTGGATATTAATCCCTTATCAAACATATGATTTGCATATATTTTCTCTCATTCTGTAGGTTTCCTTTTTATTCTGTTGACAGTGTCTTTTCTTAATATATTTTTATTAATTTCAGAGAGGAAGGGAGAGAGAGAGAAATAGATAGATAGAAACATCAATGATGAGAGAGAATCATTGACTGGCTGTCTCCTTCATGCCCCCTACTGGGGATTGAGCCCGCAACCCAGGCATGTGCCCTTGACTGGAATCGAACCTGGGACCTTTCAGTCCACAGGCCAACGCTCCATCCACTGAGCCAAACCAGCTAGGGCTGTTGATAGTGTCTTTTGATGCATAGGTTACTGCCATCTTTTGCAGTAACAAAAGTAATACCAAAATCCCAACAACTTAGCTAGATAAGCTAGATAAAAGTAGCAACCACATTTAGACACAGCACACAAAAGATAAAGATAAGATGATTTCTGTTTTCTCATTTCAGCTTGCATGTCCCGGCCTGGGTGAGATGTGCTGATATGCCCGTGGCTCAAGGAACACTGAGTGAGAGAGTTCATGGCTGGTCTGGGCAGCCTACCCCTATTTCTAGTAGAACAAGTCATGTACATTTCCTGCTGTGTATGGGACAGATCCATAAGAAAATGCTCTGTAAGGAGGCAGTTCAACACTTTGGTCACTTGGTAGTTGGGTTCTGAAGAAATTAGGGGAGCATAATGAATAGGGAAGAATAAGTTACTTACTTGCCTGCCATCTTGTCCCACATTTGTTTGACCTCTTACAACAGTTCGAATATTGTCATCCAGTCTCCTGGTAAAAAAAGTTAAAGAATACAAATCATTAAAATAATCTCTATTCTGGGCTAATCAAAAGAGCAAGAGTTAGTAATTTATCCAGCATCTTCTGCAGATTGTACCCACTTGTCCAGAAAATCAAACAAGTTTGAATGATATAAGAAACACTGAGGCCTTGGGCCCAAGCGGAGCCTAACAGTAGTGTAAAACGCCAAGCCCAGCATAGACTGACGAGTTGTCTCTGTTTTTTAAAAAAGGGCTGTTTTCACTTAGTATTCAGAGTGTCCAAAGACCCATATAACTTTTAGTATTTTTCATGGAGTAAACCAAAAATGAGAAAGTTGCTTAAACTTTATGGGAAGAAGCCAGAGAATTCAAATTACCCCACATAAATTCTTTCCTCAGAAACTTCCTCCAGAACCTTAAAAGGGATAAGGAGCCAGGGTAATATATGAAATCAGTCCTTTACCTTCCGGGCCCTGATTGTGCAACCTATGCAGGAGACAGATTTGTAGCCTCTAGCTCCTCTTTCTCCAGTGGCTCAACAGGGGCCATTAATGATGTCTCAACCAGAGACATCTATTTTAGTCAATTCCATTTTTACTTGAAGAATCCATTAAAGGTATGCGAGCAGAAGGAAAATAACCGGCTCACAAGTGATTTCTGGATCATCAGAGAATTTCCATTACTTGTGCAAACCCTAGACAACTTAGTGGTCTCCACTAGAATTGTTATAGCAAAAGTCTACCAAAACGATGAACTGGCTTCTTTGCACTTCTTAAGGCATCCAATTCAACAAAACATTAACAATAGAGGTCTTCACCAAAAAAATTCAAAGGGGGAAAAATCATCGCCTGGATTCAAAATAAAGGCTTCTTCTCATCAAAAGTTAAAAAGCAAATCTACACTTAATATGTTTAATTACAAATATATATAAACAAACAAAGAAATAAATAAATATATATATCCTATTTAATAAAAGGATAATATGCAAATTGACCCTAACAGCAGAGCAACTGGGAATCACTGGTCACTATGACACACACTGACCACCAGGGGGCAGACGCTCAATGCAGGAGCTGCCCCCTGGTGGTCAGTGTGCTCCCACAGGGGGAGCTCTGCTCAGCCACAAGCCAGGCTGACGGCTGCCAGTACAGCGGTGGTGGTGGGAGCCTCTTCTGCCTCCTCAGCAGCGCTAAGGATGTCCGACTGCAGCTAGGCCTGCTCCCCGCTGGCAAGTGGACATCCCCCGAAGCTTCCGGGCTGCCAGAGGGATGTCTGACTGCCAGCTTAGGCCCAATCCCCCCAGGGAGCGGGCCTAAGCCAGCAGGTGGTCTTTCCTCGAGGGGTCCCAGACTACAAGAGGGCACAGGCCAGGCTGAGGGACGCCCCCCGAGTGCACAAATATATATATAGAGGCCCATTGCAGGAAGATTCCTGCAAAAATAGGGCTTCCTGCGGCTGGAGTGAAGCAGAGAAGGGAGCGAAACCTGCCGAGGCGGGCTTTGCCCGCCTCCGCCACCCCACTTGCTTCTACGCAGCTTCGCTCCCTTCTGCAGCACTTGGCTTCCTTCTACGTTGTCTTCAGTCTTCACTCTTCGCCTGTATATGCAAATTAACTGCCATCTTTGTTGAGTTAATTTGCATACTCGTCTGATTGGCTGGTGGGCGTAGCGGAGTAACACCAATTTGCATGTTTCTCTTTTATTAGTGTAGATATCTACATTAATAAAAGAGAAACATGGTAATTAGTGTACGACCGCTACCCTTCCCATTGGCTAATCAGCATATCCTTATGCAAATTAACTGTCAGCCAAGATGGCGGCCGGCAGCCAGGCAGCTGGAAGCGAACATGAGGCTTGCTTGCTCCAGTGACTGCAGACTGCAACGTTCCCCACCTGACTTGCCGGCCTCTGAGCTACAACTCTAAGAAACTATGTTGCAAATATAGAAGCTAAACAAAACCCCAGAAAAAAGCTTTCAGCCAGCCGGGATCTCAGAGCTAGAGTTATACATTGTTTCGATTATAGCAGCGGAAGCCTCAGAGCTAGAGCCAGAGCTAAAGCTGGACCAGAATTAAAAAAAAAAAAAAAAGAAAAAGAAAAAAAGGAATGGTTGGGAGCTTCAGTCAATTGCCAGCCTGAAAGCAGCCCTCAGCTCCTCACCCAGACTGGCCAGGAACCCCAGTGGGGACCCCCACCCTGATCCAGGACACCCTTCAGGGCAAACCAGCCGGCCCCCAGGCCTCTATCCTATATAGTAAAAGGGTAATATGCCTCCCAGCACTGGGATCAGCGGAGACGCGAGGCCTCCTGGCACCGGATCAGCGTGACAGGGGGCAGCGCCCAAACCCCCTGATCGCCCTGCAGCTCTGTGTGTGACAGGGAGCGGCGCCCCAACCCCCTGATCGGCCCTGCTCTGTGTGTGACAGGTAGAGCCATAACCTCCCCATCGGGCCCTGCCCTGAGTGTGACAGTGCGCGCCCACCCCCTATCGGCCCTGCTCTGTGTGTGACAGGGGGCGGCGCCCCCCCCCCCCCC